AAGCCACATCTATCCCTAAAAAATACGGTGTATATTTATATATTTATCCCCTGACATGCAGGGATTTTGTGTGAGTTATAATTAAAGCTGGGGTACCTAACTTTTTAGTTTCATGAATAATACCTGTAGTTTGTCCCGACAGTAAGAGTAAAACACTACTGACCATAACGTGATGGCCACAACATTAGAAAACCTGTTATCTTTTGCATGCTTTTTGAAGTTATGAGCTGTTCTCTGATTGGCTGATTGATGGTGGTCCGCTTTTTTCAATGTTATGTCTGAAAAATCCGCTCTCTGGATGTGACAGAGGATGCATGTGTGTGAAAAGTTGTGATAGAGCCAAACACATGATAGAGCCTGTTTTGTTCTGCTTTGAAAGTTAGTTAAATGTATTTAAATGACGTACCCCAGCTTTAATATTCCACTTCAGTAGGTTCACATCAGGAGCAAATCTGTTTCTAAAGAAGTGAACCGACAGAGGCGACTAGTGGACCAGTGCGGACTCCATTTGGACCGACCCTTTTGAGAGGTTTCCCGGCAACACTCCTCACTCCCAGCACCTGAATCTGAACGATAGAACGTCAATTTCTCTTACAACCATTCACTATTCAAACACTAGATCCAAAATCGTCTCCTTTGAGAATATCCAGGTCTAATATAAAGTGTTCGATGCACTAAAGCTGCGTTACTTAAAAGTATAGTCAAATGGTGAAGCAGCCTAATTAAAGAGTGGAGTTTGTGTTGGCATCTCAGCTCATTTACAGTATCTCCTGAACAGCCAATTATCCCGTTGCCGTGGTCACCCAGGAGAAAAAGACACTCGGAATATTTCTTATTTTTTCATTCTCTTTTTTCTTTGTTCATCATAATGTGCTGCTTTTGGTGTTGGGGGATAGTTACTATACAGAATGAGCCCAAAACATAGTTTAAAAAAAAAGTGGTGCAACTCGGGAATCTCATCGTAAACAAGTCTAAAGTATCAGGGGAAACGTGTGAGCAAGTCGGACCTATTTTGTTTGAACTATATTTAAATCAGTGGCTTTGAAATAAAGTCAAGATTTGTGAAGTATCATGACTGCATTTAAAAATAATATAATTGGTTAATAAACATTTGATCTGGATTTCAATATGTAGTGATAGCTGTGTTTTCCATATTTTTCAATTTCTTGTCTTGTTTTTTAAAGCATTTTATATGAATTGTGCTATACAAATAAACTTTAGCAATTGATTAGAGCTCACTCCCTTTGTTATGACACTCATGAAAAATCCACTGAATTCAAGCGCTTATAATAATGCTTATCATATTATTGATTGGAGGTTGAATCTTTGGTGTTATCGGAAAGGTGCATTAACCACGACATATCAAAAAAATATCGTTATTGCGATATTGGTGCGTGCAATATCCACATCGAAAATATCCACGATAAAGACGACAAAACAGACACATCAACATTCAACAAGAACAACAAACAAACAAAGTATATAAGTGCATTTGAATGTTTTTTTTGGTGAAAGACAAAAATATCACAATAAAATCGATATCACAATACTAAACACTCATATTGAATATCGCTCTAAATTCCAATACCGTGCAGCCCTAATTAACCATTAGATATTTTGGTAATGTTTATTAATATATATATATGATTTCACATTCTTCATCCATGACCTCTCGGACCTCATCCAAATGTACAAGTCTCCAAGTGCTCTGAGGTCTGAGGGCCAACTCCAACTGGTGGTGCCTAAGACGAGACATAAAACCTGGAGGGACAGGGCCGTCGCTTTGACCGGTCCAAAGCTTTTTTAAATGTTTTTTTTAAATCTTTATTCTGTTTTTAATTTATTTTTCTATTTATTATACCAGGGAAGCCCCATTAAGATTCAAACATCTCTTATCCCGGTCAGAACAGTGCCTTTGTGGGTGGAGTCTGTGTAGGTTTCCTCCGGGTGCTCCGGTTTCCCCTACCACCATAAACATGTCCCACAATTGTAAAGCGCTTTGTGACTCTGGTCTGTAAAAGGCGCTATATAAATTAAGACTTTTATTATTATTATTATTGTCTTTTTTGTGCTTTTTTTGGTGTTAGGGATTTTGTGTCTTCTAGATGCCCAAATACACGCTTGAATTGAACAAAAATATGTATTTACTTTCCCTAGGGTGTCCTGGTCAAGAGGCATTCGCAGTATAACCCTCAAAATCATGTATATACAACATCCTATACATTCAGTTGCATAAAAACACACAATAAATAATTTATTTACGAACAATGACAGGGCTGTTGTCCCAGGTCTTTCACAAGGTGCCAACATATGTCATATGGAATTGGCAGGTAGTTACATTTTAAATGCGTGTGGTGTACATGGTCTCCCCGAGGTGCCAGAGAGCTATAGCTGTACGTCTCCATAGTCTTAATGGCAACACTTAGCAGCGTACGACTGTGACTTTCCTGACGCCGAGCGCATTGGTGAAATATGGGCTCCGAAGTTGTGTGCATGCGCTAAAAGCAAAGTGATTGATGTCACTAATGGAGTTGGACTGACTCAGAACCACAGAGATGGGCCCAAGAGACGGCCATCCCCGCAGTCCTGTCTTCTATATATTTCATAATGCCTTACTCTACTCTGCGCACTGAAATCGGAACACATTATAAATAATTGGCTCAGAGCAAAAGACAGAATGTGAAAACCGCCTATAAGTTAAGGCAAGGCAAGTTTATTTATGTAGCACAATTCATTCACAAGGCAATTCAAAGTGCTGAACAAAACAAGAAAGTTCTGGTTGTGATTATGATGGAATAGTTGTTTAGAAATCGTTCATTACCGAATACATCTGGCAGAGTTCAGAATTCAAGGTAAGCTTATTACCATAGAAGAAATGTTGTCTTCATTTGACACTAAATGGATGAAAGAAATTATTGAAAATTTGTATTCATATCTGGAAATGATTTTACTACATTGCAAAAACATATATGTGAATTAGTTCAGCTTGAATGTGGGGAATATTTTCCATTGGAGAAGAATATGGCTCAATCGAAACAGACATACCTAACTTTGATCTGTCACAATGAACTTTTTGTTGTTGTTGTCCAAACAGAAATAGTCCTGTAAAAGTAAAATCAGACTACAACATGCTGTCTTCATCTTCAAGAAAAAAGAGCCCAGTGAGTCACTATTTGACACTGCCTATATGTGACATAGGCCAAAATACATGCGTGTGAAAACTAGTGAGAGAACCAAACCGTTTTAGGAGCTTGGAATTTGTTAGATTGATTTTTATTATAATGTTAGTATAGTATAGTATTATTATGGTTAGAAAGTTAAAATAGGGTCTATCTAAATAGGGGAAAAATCTAAGTGTGTTTGGGCAACTATGAGAATCCTTTTTTTTCCATTTATAAATCATTTAATCTAAAAAAAAAAAAGCAACAAACTGAGAACAATGTATTCATATCTCGAGTTGAATGAGCGGATTTTTCTTCTAAAACGATCCCCACGGTGATTTTTAGTTCTTACAATTGTATTTACAGCCTGAATTAGATTCCTATTCTCTTCATCTAATCATTGTTCTTTTGCGGTTCAAACAAATCATTGTGGTATATTAAAGAGACACTACCATTGCCAGAGTTTCCTGCTCCTTGCTTATTTCAGTCGCCTTCACGGAATTACATAAAATAGTGTAATTTGTGGGGTTGGAGCAGCAGATGGTTGGCTGGTATTTGCACACACATGATGAATGGGCACATATACAGACACTCTCCCCAGTAGCTCCAGGGCGGGTGTCAGTGAAATGAAAAAAAAAAAACACCTGCTCTCTTTACAAAATATAGGATAGATTAAATTGACTATGCATGGCGTTTGATTACACCGCTGCAATCTATAAAAGCAATATGTTGTTTTGAAGTTGCCTCACATTATCTCCACAGTTCTCTGCCACTCCTAACCTACTGCTTATGAAAGAACAAAAAAAAACACAGAACATGATTTAATTTGAAAGGCAAAAGGCGACACATAACCTGCTTGGAATTCAACACCTAGTCTGATGTTCCTCTCTGAAAACATTTTGACAAGTTAATTAGATTTGTCCAAAACTGTCATAAGGCTGGCTGAATCATGAATACTTTATTACAGCTTTTCACAGTGATAATTACGTATTTATTTTTACTCTACGCCCATGATTTAGAGCTAAACACGTTGACATTTGTGATTGCAGTAATCCATAGTACAGAATTCAAATGTTGTCAAATGTTTTTTCAATTGCATTTTTTTCTTTTGCTGACGGTATTTATATTATATACGTATTAATTACATTGTTTATACATATTGATTTGGATACTTTAAAGCTGGGTACCTAAGCTTTTACCATCAATGAGTAAAATGTTTTTAACAAATCATGCCACACCATGCCACAAAATAAAACATTTTATCTTTTGTATACTTAAATAAGAACCCTATGAGTCACTTCTTGACGCTTTTGGCTTAGAGCTGATTGGCTGAGAGAGGGTTGTCCGCCCCTTTTCACTTTTCTGTCTGAAAAATCTGATCTAAAGAAGAGACAGAGGGCAAAAATAAATACATGCATGATAAAACCAAACTGCTTTTAGAGCGTGGAAATAATTCAATGGATTTTATGACATAGGTAAATGTTTGTGGCTAGAAAATTAGATAACCCAGCTTTACAGTAAGGCCACCTATAGAACAATTCTTCCAGAGATGAGGCAGAACGGAGTCAGGGTTCAGAACGATAAACAAAGAAAGTTTGTGGAATTCTCATACAGTTTGTCCGTATGTTTGCGTTTTGTAAGAATTCCACGTAAGGTTTTATAAACGACCGCCTGGCCCGGTCCATCCCCTACTTCCAGAGACTGATCAGGGCGATATCAAAGCTGACATCTCCAAGCAGAAAAGCAGTTACCAGAACTTTAGTCCATCTTGAGCACTGCAAAAAAAACATCTTAAAAATTGAAATTAACAGCACATTCCTCTTTGCTTTCTCTCTGCAGGTGGCTCAATGGCCCGAAGAGGAAGAGAAAGAACAGCCAGTGTTCGGTGAAGAGCGTGTCTGGTGAGTAAAGTGACAAATAACACCACTCAACGTCAAACAACTCAAAGGGAAGTCTTACTGCAAGCATAAATAAAGTGTAGCATACCCTGACAGAAGTTTTCTCCCCGGAGACAACATCCATACAAACACACACATTTTTTTATCTTCTATTTGTTTCTTTTAACTCTGAAAGTGTGCGGGAATACAGTTGTCAGCTTTTCTGCGAGCGAGGAGTGAGGAGTTCTTCCGCATTCGCACAAGCCATGCATAATTCATCAGTGCCTTCTGTACTTTCCCGTTCGATTTGTCACCTGCAAACACGCCAAAACGGTCCAAAACACTTCGCTTCTGTCTGGAGTAAATTAAATTGTTGACGTGGATTGACTGAGTAGCTGTTTAAATGTTCGAAATGGCAACAACGAGAGGCAGAACTTTAAAAATAATAAGTGTCAGATGATGTGGAGAAGACGCTTTTCCCACACCTTTCTTCTCGCAGCAGGAGCCTTGTCGACACACTCGTACCTGTCATGCTCCATTTGGGACGGGAAAATCTGACACTGTGTCTGTCTGTGGGGCATATGCTAGTCCCAGATCGGCTTAGGCACGCCACTGTGATGACTCCACTTTCCTATGGGGAAATTGGCTGTGTAAAAATCATTTATCGATAAGAAAAGCAGAATTTAGGCAAAATCAATATTTATGTAGACATTGTTTTGCCTCAGCCTCAGTCCTGGATCTGTAGCCTGTCCATCTGTGGGACCGGATCACTCCCTCAATATGGGGTGTTTCTCACCGATGCAGGATATTCTAAGGCAGGAGTGTCCAATCTTCTAATTAAGAGGGCCACTTCAGTTCGCCAGACTTCTCCAAGGGCCGACAACACAGATTGTAAAATAATCTTTAGAATGAGGTGTTGCTGAAGCAGAAGTTGGCCGGATAAAATGATGAACTTGTGCTAATCTGAATTGTATTTTGGGTTAGCAAGGCATAGGGCCACATAGAATGACACAGCGGCCGCAATTGGCTCACGGGCCTGAGTTTGCACATGCCTGGTCTAAGGACAGTGATCTTCCGGGACATTGATTGATATTTATGGGCATTGGTCATCCTGCTCCATATGGACCAATGGCTATGTGTGTTATGGTTGGAACTGTTTGATTCTCTGATCTGTTGGCAAGTAGACAACTTTGTAGAGTCCTCCGAGATGACTGCTGTTGGGATTTAAATTAAACCATAAATCAATCCTAAATTGAATTGTTTTAACCCTTTAGGCACCAAATTTTTCAGAAAGTTTGCATGTTCTTCTTGTAGTAGTTCTTGAGTAGGTTTCCTCTGGGTGCTCCGGTTTCCCCTACCCCTAAAGACATGCACGATAACTCCCATCTCTCAGGACTCAATTAAAAATGATGTGAAAAAGACTAAAAGTGGCGCCCATCAAGATATAGACTACTTAAATGATGTAGGGAAAGATTTTTGGGGGGCCAGGTCGCTGTATAGAAAGTGTCCTGGATATAGTTCATGTACAAATTCATCTGGGCTGGAATTTTCAATAACTACTGGATGGATTGAGCTGTGTGTAGATATGAAGTGATGGAAAGAAGACCTTGTTAAAATCTCGAGACAATCCGTGGCCTAGGCGAGATTGAAAAATAAAGAGAGCCGAGTTTATGAACTTCTTTCTCCTCGAATCAATAAACAAGTTTCCATATTATATTTGATCCTGCTGTATCTTAATAATTCAGACAAACATCAGCATGATATCTGTAATCCAACGTGTTTAAATTACTTTTTGTGAATCTTAAAATATGCAAATCATGTGAAAATGCATGCCATCTCCAGTTGCCATGGCGATGCAGATGCAGCATATTGGCTAAAAATAAGCCATCACACACTGTTCTGACACTTTGTGCGGAGTTTCCCATCTCCAGAAGTCTATTGCATCATCATGCTCCAAATCCACACGGGGTTCACTTTAGCTTCTCCTCCTTTTAACGGCGCCTCAACTTTGCACATCAAAGTCCCTCCTCCTCGCTGAATATCTCAATCAAAGTCAACGAGTACAGTCGTTCTCTGCATCTCGTTCAGCTCAGTTTCAGATTCTTTTTTTTGTTATTATCGGGAGAAATTTGTTGCACCACAAATGAAACCTGAAGATATCCAGTGTTACCTGCCAATCTCTGGCATCTGCAGCTATATTTCTCTTTGACTTTTTACAATATGGGAGGTTCTTTGAGGATAAAAAAATAAGTTAATAAATATTTTGTAATTGTCTTTAGATTTTAATTTTTGCTTGTTTTGAAGCAAAGCTGGACAAAACCTAAAGAAGGCAGTTAGTATTGCAGTATGAATGGAGACACAAAAGAGTTTTAAAACCTGTTTCTTTTACACCAAGGGAATCCTCAACCTCTTCCCAGAATGCATCAGTTCCTATTGAGAGTTGGATCTTGGTCTGAGTCAGTTGGATCTCAGACTGCTCCAAAATAGTCTGTGGGGCTTGTCTGTAATCTGAGTAGATGATTCTACCGGCTAGTTTTTTTTAGTTTTTTTTTGTCATCTTAAAGACAAAAAAAAAAACAGACAAATACCCCAACAATCAAAAAGATTAACCTAAAACAAAACCACAAAAAGACAACCCCAAACAGAACAAACATAATAACAGATATAGATTATAAATAATAATAATAATGGTATGGTATGGTTTTTAATTTTACGGGGACAGTGTATAATAATCATTAGCCAAAAGTAGAGATGCATTGGACCAGGTTGTAGCACCGGTGCTAATTTCCACCTGTAGTCCAGGTGTAAAGGTTGTTGTAAAACAGTCAAATAAAAGTAGATGGAGACATTACCATACATTATAAATAATAATAATAATAATAGAAAAGAATACAATAAAAATAACAATAATAATACCAGCTAGTTTTGGCTGTCGTTGAATCTGTGAAATAAACTAGTCAGAAAACCAAAACAGCACCGACTCAACGCTCGCCCTGTAAAAAGACAACAATTATTGAGATACAGTAGGACCCGCTCGTCCTGCTGTGAGACTCCACCTCGCTCCGGAGATTCCACATTTATAATCTCCAATGTCACTTTCCAATGTTGTTGTCATGTACGAACTCCCAAGGAAACCATTGAGCCAGATGGGACTGGATTGGCTCGGGCTTCATTTAGGGAAATTCAACAGATGCCGCATTAGGGAAAATTGCTGTGACAAATGAATCATCTTCGCTTTATTTATCTTCGTAAATAAGGCATATTTTAACTTGACAGAAACATGCTTTTGAGATGCTAATTCGGGAAAAGCTCTATAACGAGTGAGACGTTTTAGTCGTTGTTGCATTTCAGGTACGTTGTTTCAATCACATATGTTTGTGTTTGAGCACGTTTATAACTCATAAATTATTCAAATTGTCCTGGTTGGCTTTCATGCAGTCTGTTAGCTGTATTTGAATATATTAGGCCAAATTGCTTGTAATTTAAAAGAGATCTATTATGCTAAATCAACTGGTTTTTTTTCAAGCATTGTTCCACATCAGTCACAGGCCTGAAGTTGTAGCTCCGCCCCTTCTGCGTAAAAACTTTTTAAAATATTTTTTTAAGAAGAATGTATACTTTAAAGTTCAACCGAAGCTAGAACAGAGATTAAATTGAAAATAAATAGATAAAAGCAAGTTCCTTAAAACATGTTTCCATTTTGTAGCTTCTTTCTTTCTTCTTTTTTTGTATAATCACCTTATGTAATTATAACAGTTTTTGTGGTCTTTAGATGTTATGGTTATTATCATTCTTTTAGTTTAGTCTTTGCACCTAACGTTTGCAACTGGTAATCTTCAAATGTGTAAAAAAAAACAAAAAAAAACAAAAAGGATACAGCTGATAGAATTTACCCCTCATAATTGCCTCACCATATATTTTCTCTTTAAGTCATTGTTCCATATTCTAAACATGAAATGCATTTCTGAGTGGTTAGCACAGGCTTCACAGCAATGAGGGTGTGGGTTTGATTCCGTGTCAGTCCGAGCCTTTCTGTGTGGAGCCTTTCTGTGTGTTTTTCTGTCTGGATGGGTTTCCTCCTGGTGCTCCGGCTTCCCCCCATCTCCCAAAACATGTAGTATATATATATAATCCTCCATCTCCAGGCATTGCAGGATGGGTCAAAAGCAGGGGTCAAAGGGACAGATGAGTGTACATACATGTTTGACCATACCTATAGTGTTATTGCTCCCTATGTTTACCCCACAAACTGTGCTCCAGTGTCCCGTTAGTGACCTTGTTCCTTGTACTGCGAACAGAATCACACCGACAAACCGCTGCAGGTGCGAGCATGTTTTGTATAGATTATCTCCGAGCCCTATCCCACGAAGCCGAAAAAACCCGGACTCAGATGATGTGCCAAAAGCAATAAGTGAAAGTTGAAAAGACAAAATATTTATCTTTGCTCAGCCACACTGGAGGAATTGAATTGGTTTTTCCCCGGGTTTGCAGTTGTGGCTGTAGTAATGGCTGGCGTTGAGCAGAGGCAGGAGGAGAGCCAGAAGCTGCAGCAGTATTGATTTTGGGTTTGGCTTGCGAACACTCAGCCACAGCACCTTGGCCGTGGCTCAGGGGGGCTCTGGGACTGCTCTGGGTGCCAGCCGCCGGAGTCGACGTCTCACCACAATCATCCTCCCCTGCTACCTCTCCATCTGTGCTCTTCACACCGCTATTTCCCATACAACTGTAATTATACTCGCTCCTTGGTTTAACCCTTTAATGTTCACTCCTTGAAAAAAGCAATGTAAAAAAATGTTTTGGTTTGGTTTAGTTTTTTAAGATGTAGGAGCATTAACAAAAATAATTAGTTGTTTTTTTAACCCCTAGTTTTTTAATTGGCAGGCCTCTACAGCAACACGGTTGAGATGCAGATTGATGGTAAGTGCCTTAAACCATAGAGATGCCCCAATGAGGTAGATTTCAGTTCTAAGCTTCAAAATAGATAAATATGTATAAATATAAAGTGAATCAAAAAAGTAATTCACCAAATGGTTGAGGAAACCATTAAAGGGTAACTATGAACCAAGTCGTAGTAGTGATACTGAAGATAAATGGAAGTGCAAAGGTCTTTTATTGTACAGTGTTAGTTCAAATGGATAAAACTCCAATTACATACATTAAAAATACTTATTTATACTTTATTATCCTTAGGCAGTTCCCTTCTCTTTGTCTTTGTGAAGTGAATTCCAGTCCTGTATGAAAGCGGCTGTAAACACATTTTATTAATAGAGCAGATCGAAAGCTACAATCTAAGTGGGAGAAAATGTTAGAAGGGAAGATTTCAAATATCCTTGCAGCTTAAACAATTATGTACAACGCTAAAAATGATAAGTGTGTGTGTATGTTTGTGCGTGTGTATGTATCTGTATGTATGTTTGTTTGTGTATGTATGTATCTGTGACTGTGCCTTCAATGTGTGTGTGTGTGTATGTATCTGTGTCTATATCTGTGTCTATGTGTGTGTGTGTAATTTTGTAGCCCAGCATACACAAACTGTTTTCAAACCGTATCTCAAGGGATTCTTCTCCTCTCATTGCAGTGGGAGGCAGCCTGCTCATAGCAATGCATATATTTCAAGTTTCAATTATACATTTCAAAGCCAACATTGTCTGTTTCTTTAGCTTTTATTTTCTCTGTATGGATTCACCATCAACACCCCTCCCCACTATTTCACCCACATACATATATATATATCCTGCGTTTCCAAAATCTTTATTCTAACTCCATTCACAATCTGTTTTCTCTATTGGACTCCGTAACATATACGCTCCAAACCGATTTAAACGATGTTGGACGGCGCTTTCGGAAACTCGTCCAATGCCACCTCATCCATATGGCAGCAATCGCTCTTCTTTTTTAGCTCCTTGTCCTTTCTGCCGTCTAACATTTTATAGAGCTAAATCAATAGGAAACCACTCACGTTGCTTTGGCACAGTTTCCACCCGTTTCATTTTCTTTCTCTCTTGCCTCTTTTGGCCTTTCTTGGTTGCCCCTCCTTTATCCTCCCCAAAGATGCTGTCACTGGGCTCACTGAGCGGCCTGTCACTGCGGGGACTGTGTTCTGCACTGCACATGTCATATATAGAGCCACAAGGGACCAATATGAGTGCTGTGTGTACAAAGGCCTCTCCAGTCATCTGTATGGCCTTATGTGTGACACGGACCATAGCATCTCCCCCCCCCAACACCCCTAGAGCCCTACACATGCTTCAAATGTCGAGACGAAAAGAAAGGAAAAAGCAAAATCATTATTGGAAAGGGTTGTCCATGTCCTATTTTGCCAAGACGCTGGCTGGTTCTATCTTGCATTGGGGGGGAATGGTGAATCTCTGCAAAATAAATTACTATATGACTATGGAGGTGGGAAGAAACGGTTGTCACTGTTAAAAACTTAGAAAATAAAATCAAGTAAGTATTATTTGTCACTGGGATTCTTGCATCAAATGTTGCTTTTATTATCAATCAACTTTTTTGGCCACACAAAGCGCCTCACAACCCAAATCACATCAGGCATAAATCATAAACATTAAAATTGACATTAAAAAAATAAAATAAAAAATAAATAAACTAAAATAAGATCACAAAAAATATTAAAAACATAGAAAATAAGATTACACAAGTATTATTTGTTGTTGAATATCACTATGAAATATGAGCTGGAACTAGGGCTGGGCGGTATAAACGGTATAAGCGGTAGACGGTATAAATTTGGCCCACGGTAGAGATTTTTGTTATACCGGCATATTGCGATACGTCATTATGTCATTAAATTGCGCAGGCTCTGACGCCAGCAGAAAGGACCAAAACAAACCGGCATTCAGCAGCATTAGCCTAGCACTATTAGCCTAGCACATTAGCCTAGCACTATTGGACACCACTGGAAACAACGAACAACAGCACGGCATTAACACCGTGTTTCTGTCTATGTATTGTTGTCACAGCGGCCCCAGCAGAGGTAAATACACACACAGTAATCACAGTTTAAGCGTCTACCTTTTGGCCAATCGGTGTCAAAGGGGCGTAAGCTCGAAGCGCCAGCGTGAGCCAAAATAGATCCATGCGTGTGCCGTGTCCGCAGCATCACAGCAGAAGTTTGGGAAAGTTAGCGTCAGATTCGGACCTCCGCAGTCAATATCTCACGAAAGCTACTTTGTTAAACAAAATTATTTGTGCCAAAATGATCATTTACATCAATTGTTCAAATCCAATGCGCTGTTTTAATGAACATAAAATCCATTGAATCATCCAGCGCAGAGAAAAGCGCTTAGGGAGCGTCAACAAATGGCAAGACCAGCTTTGTAAACAAACAGCTTTTACTGAAGTCATGCACCTGCACAAAACTCTCAGACACTATAAATAATGACCATGTCTAACTCCTACAGACTTTGTTTTCATCATTTGTGAGTTTTTTTATATTTTAAATGAATGCATATGTTTTTCTTTTTAAAAATTGCTTTTACAGTGAATGGTATTTACTGTAACATACATAAATAATGTATGTTATTTGTCTCTTTATTCGTCTCACAACTGATTTTCTAACTCAAAAAATATATATTAGATTCTAATATATAAATAATTAACAATCTTGACTATTTTATGCAAGAACCTGCTAGACCTATATTGAAATTCACACACCAAATTATACCGCGATATATACCGTCTACCGTCTATGACCCAAATTATACCGCGATATGAATTTTAGGCCATATCGCCCACCCCTAGCTGGAACTCACTCCCACGATCCTGTCAGAAACTAGCTTCAACACCTCTCAAAACCTGTTCCATCTTGCGTCTCCATCATTTTTGCAGCTGTAACTTTGTCTGTGGACTACTATCTAATGTATTCAGTTCACTCCAATAGAAAAAAGGTAATTTATTTTATGGCAGTATCGGGTTTTGGGTCACTAAGAAACTCTGATACTTTTACCCCAGTTGAATTTGTGCTGCACTATGGCCGCAATACATACACTGTCAAAAAGTGGCCTATTTTCTGACTCGGAGTGCATCATTCCCAACCTCAACCTCTTTTCTGCAGCCTCTTGGCAAAGTGCTGTATGTAAAATGTGCAGAAGATGACTATTTCCTGTATTGCCTGTGCTGTCTGCTCGTCTCTGCTCGTCTGTGTTCTAGAAGGACAAGTGGAAACGGGAACAACCTGTCCTCCTGATGCTTAAGAATCAAATAGTCCAGATGAGGAGGTTAGAAAAAGTCTGGAGTCATGGAAACTCCAAGATACATCTTCAATCACTTTGTGGCCATGTTAAATGATGCTTTTAAACGCCATGTACGAACAGTGTACAGCAGAGAAGTGGATATTTCTACTTTTTGTGTATGCCCCTTGTTTTACAAAATGTGCTATATACATGTATTTAAAGTGGAGGACCCCCGCTGAAAGACCAAGGCTGTTTCACCACTGACAGAGCAGCCATCTTCCTGTGGACTCACCCCCTGCAGAGGATCAGCAAGGGACTGGTGCTATGAGCAATGGGTGGCAGCTCTCATTGCCACCCCCCTGACCCAGAAATGGACAATAAAGGGCTTGAAAATGAATGAATGAATGAATGGATTGGAGGACGAATATATATGAAGGATTTCAATAAGTGGGCTCGCATTGTGGGTCAGGTCTTCACATAATTTTGTTTTGGCAAAAGTTTTGACAAAGAGACTCAATAACTTTCTATCTCTGTGTCTTGTTTAACGTCAATACTCCAACTATGATCCAACGATGCCTTAGATTACGACAGACAATAGAAATATCTTCTTTAAATATACCCAACGAAACAAAAACAATATATTACTTAGCAGTTCACTCTATCAGGCCAATCTCTCACTGTCTGTATGGAACCAATTCTAACCATTATATTATTCTTTATCAGATTTACTCTTGCAACAACGCGCTGACGCCACTGTGGGACTGCTTCACATTTCTCTATTTTCATATTCCAAAACCCTAATGCGTTTAACCTATGTGCAGAACTTTCACCCATAGTTTTTCCGTCCCATGAATATGCAGGTGGAAAGTTTTGGCTGCTCTACTTTAATCTCAGGGCTCTTATTAACTTTCTTTATTGAGAAATCCATCAATGATAATCAAATATAAAGCTCCGGCTCAAGTCTCTGCCTCAGTCATTACTGCATTAGCGCTCTCATTAGGCTCTTTAATGAACGGTATTAACAATATTCGTGGGTGCAGCATTAGGAGGGGCTTTTGCACAGAGCCAGGACTCGTTGCTTCTCTCGAGGTTGTGCCTCTCGTCCCGTTCGAGTTCACACAGACTCAAATATAGTAGTACTAATAGTACAGTGCAAATCCATTATTTTGACCGTTTTTTTACTCTGAAGTATTAGTTGAGTTTTAGCAGCCTTTTTAGCAGTTTTAGCTCCTTGGTTTTACCAAAACAGATTTTAATTTAATCAGTTTCAAATCAGTGTCACTACCAACCTCTAGTAATTTGAAACTAACACTGCATACAATTAAATGTGTAGTACATGCCAATCAGTAGATTATATCTCCTCTGGGTTTTTCCCTGGGTCAGCTCTATTTACCACAGCGGGCCAATGTTGCAAATCTGCAACATCCCAGAATGCATCGCCTGTGAGGAAAAAAAAAACAGTCAGGATTTTATATTACTACCCCATGTGATAATTTTCCCCAAATATCAGATTATTCCTGTCATTCAAATTTAATTTGGCCCTGAAAGGTTAAACTCACATGGACCTACAAAGATACTGTAGGTATATACTGTATATACATACAACTGGATTTACTAAAACAGATGTTGCTTTATAATGTACAATATGAAAGTTGTATTTTTACATGGGGGGAAGTGCTGCTGCAGACTGGAGCAGATGGCATTAAGCTTTCACGTGTTTACTTGAAGAAGAGTGGGTGTCATGGTTTTCTTTGTTTCGGAGACAGAATGTGGACACTGGATATGAACGAAACAGAAACAGGGATAACTTTTAGACCATATGGACCATCGCTATATTGTGTCATGTGTTGAAAACAAAGGAAGGACTCAAAATGCAGGAATTTAAAATGAAAATGATTTAATAATAACAATTGTTTCTACGGGGAACATAGGAACTGAGGAAAAAACAAAGACCATCCAGCAATGGAGATGAGCACAGGGTAAACACAGGTTAAACACCCTTTTATTTCACTTGTTTTATTAATCAAATACAATATGAATTAAAACCGTGTCTAATTTTCCTTATCTCACATAAAAAATGATATACATCGTCTAGTTTCAGTATCACAAAAACATGAAAAATAAAAATGCCATTAATATTGTTTATTTGTTACTGTAACTTAATGCTGCTTTAGCTCAATTTGATAAAATACTGAGAAAACAACTTATATATATATATATATATTAGTTTAATGCCAAATGTCTTCTTTAAACAATATTCATTTGCCCAATTAGCACTATTTTAACACTTAGCAAGACAGGACTAACGGCAGCATACATCATAATTACTTTAGCCTGACTCAACTTTCTTTCGCCCGACCCAAACTGCGGCGGCTCACCACTAAGCTCGGGCTGAATCTGTGACCTTTTCTCCAAAACGACAATCTTCGCCCACAGCCGAGCTCAACAGGGAGTGATTTAAAGGCAATAGGGGAGCAACAGTGGCCCTGCTGCAGCCCTGTCGTTCTCTCCCACTCCAAACACATCCATTTGTGCTCCAGCCGCCAGAGACAATCACAGCTCGCTTGTATTGAGCTGTCCGTGCCATGCTACCTGTCAGCAAGAAAGGAAAAGGAGAGGCCAGCTGGACTTTTAGGATTGTTTTATCGTTAGTTCGCAACCCCCCGCCGAGATTATCGAGTGACCTCCAGTGGACAGGAGGACAAAGGACGCAGCAGAGGGTCCGTGGAGTCAGGGTTTCCGCAGCTAAAGTGAGATTGAGAAAGCTGCAGGGTTTGAGTTTAGAGAAAGAGCAAGAGAGAGAGAGAGAGAGAGGAGGGTAATGGTGCGCGGACAGAGAGGAGATTCACTTCTGTCGTTGCTGATTTTCTCGGACGGATTTTTTCATACTCTCATTTGAATTGATTTTCTTCTGAATGTATTTGCAGTATCAGACATGTCACGCAACAACAAAACTGACACAGATGGACAAGTACCTGAAAACACCTTTATGTTTTGTAATATCCCAATCCCCTCGGACAAAACTGTGTACTACAAAACTAGGTATTTAAGCGCTTTTGTTATTTTTTTTATAGTATTGAAGTAAACCCCGTCTCACAAACAGCAGAGAACAGCAGGGATAATAGATGTCTTGAACACTAGATAGACACTTTTTAGTGCTTTTCTCCTTTTTTAAGGTCTTTTTGAGCCTTTACCTGTTTGCTATTTCTTTAAAAAAACACCTTGAACATAATGCCCTTAACTTGTTTTATGTATGTCATTATTATTTTGTGATATAAGTGGTTGTCCTTAGTCTGTAATTTTTAAATCAAGGGTGGAAGGAAATGTTATAAGGCTGGGTACCATTAAAACAGACTTCTTGTGGCTTCGTCCAATGCTACTTTTCTGAACCACAAATCCAAAGGTGTAAGAAATGCCTGAAGCTTGTTTGTCCTTTGTCTGCCAAAGGTTACAGAAGCTTCAACACAAAAGCAAAACCACAGATCTATTGATAAGTGACTGTTTTTTTGCTGTGTAGAAAATGTCATGACTATTCTTTCTGTTTTCATGCAGTCTTTCAGGGACGTATTCTGAATGTCTCCATACAGCTGTTTGTGATGACTTTTTTCATAGACCTTTAGAATGGTCTCATAATGCATTGTTTGTGCTGTGTTTTCTCTGTCAGGGTACATACCTAGCTACCTGGAGAAGGATGAGCCGTGTGTGGTGTGTGGGGACAAAGCTACAGGCTATCACTACCGCTGCATCACCTGTGAGGGCTGCAAGGTACGTACACGGCTCTTTGAAACTCCCACATTGGAAACCCCTCTAATGAGCTTTGCAAATATCGTTCTCATTTGCATTTAGGGCTAGAAAATATGACCAAAAAATATATTACGATATGACTACTCACTATCAACTGTTTAAGGTTTATATATATATTTTTTCTTACATGTCCCAAGGTTTTTACATGCATGTATGTTTGGAAAAAAAGCGGTGTCAAAACTGAAACAGAGACGACCACCCTCATTCAACCAATCCGCTCTCCGTAAAAGATAAAAACGTTTTTCTAAATAGATGAATAATAGCATGTTGTGGTCAAAGAAATGTTTTATTTACAACACTTCTTTATGTTGGAGCAAACAAAACGTATTAATGAAGCATAGAAAGTTGGCCCTTGTGCTGGTTCTGTGACTCTTGGCTGGAGTCTCGCTGTATAAAGTGTGTAGTGAGGGGTTTTACTGCATTTAAAACAACAGTTGGAACAGACGCTGGAGAGGCTCTCGGTGTCCACAAGGCAGGCGCGATAACTCACGGCAAAACACAGTATGTCAATTTAAACTGTTATTTCACCGTCCACACGTTTGGCCGAGGTCACCGCCTACACCGCTTACCTCTTTTTTTAGGTTTGTACTTAAAAGAGTTTTGTTAAACATGTAGTGAACAAATATACTGTCTTCATCTTATTAGAAAACATTGTATTTTTCATATACTGAGAGCTGATTGGTTGAGTGAGGGTGGTCCTCTCTTTTTCATAAAAATTCTGATCGAGAGATGTGACAGAGGTAAAAAATACATTCTGTACTTTGGAAAACAAGTGATGGAACCAAACTGTTTTGAGAGCGAGGAAAAAATATGTTTTTTTATCACATTGTTGTGTTTTCAAAGTTATTTACTGCAGCTTTAACAAAACATATATTGCTCCTTCGTTCTGTCCTCTACAAATGTCCAAACCATTTCCAAAAACAGACCAAAAAAAAGTTGCCATCAGAGAATATATTTATTTAGGCACATTGGCAGAAGGTCGTGGGACCTTGGATCCTGATTATGTTTCTTGTTTGTGGAGAGACAGACTTGCAGACGTCAATGACAGACAGCTCTGTCAGTACGACCAGATATTTTAAGCCAGTATCCTCATCACTTGTTATGCCAAGGCTTACGAATGTTGCTCCTGCTTATACAAAATTGGAATCATACACATGTTTTTTGTGTTTTCACTACATTTTTGTTTGCAAAGTATGTTCAAGAACCGATTCCAAGTGCGCACTTAACGCCACAGATGAATACAAACACCAGAACTCTCACTTTGAATCTGAGTAAACATCCCAAGGCCGCAATTAAACATGCAATGTCTCGTCCTCTGTAGAGCATGTAATGTACTGTATTTGTTTCTCCGCTGGCGTTTATTAAAAACCCCATAACCTTCAAACGAGCTCTGGAATGAATGGAATACATTTGTTCTGGAGTTTATTATTTATTTGGCTCTGAAATCTCATTGAAAAAAAAAACAGCATTGGATAAAAGTGCATTTTTGTCTGTTTCAAGCTAAATGTAATTGTTTATTAATTTATTCTTATTAATGTATTAATTAATTTGACGGGGATCATAGACTGACTGAGTGCTGACGTAACCCATATCGGATAATATCACAAGTCTCAGCGAATAGGATCAAACTTTGTCCATGAGCACTTCCCTTTTTTAACATGTGTGGTTTGTTTTTAGCCACAAGTTGAGTCTGGTAGTAAACACTTTTGACCTAGATATACATTTGGTTATTTGGCAGTTTAGATCAACAGTTTAGCATTCGAGATTTGCATTATTGTATTTTTAAATTTCTGAGAACTAAATAAAAGCAAAAATCTCCTAAACCCCAAAAAAGCACAACAGGGATATCTCTGTGTGCTGTTAAAACATAATCTCATTTTTATGTTATTTCTGCCCAATATAAAATGCATTCAGAACAATATCTACGAAGCAAAACAGATCCGTTGCTTCTCACACTTTTCTCAGCTCATCACTGTCTTTTTTATATATTCAAGGGCTTCATCTCGTGTCATTATCTTGTTCTTGTCTCGAAATAGACTAAAAGAAATCAGTTTGAGTTACTTTTCTCACAGCAGTTGGGGCCGAATCCGCTTTTTCAAACTGTGAACTGGACTCCGCAGAGGGAGTTCTGAGGCTCACTTCTCTCTGTCTAGCGGGCCATCTGTTGTAAATATTAGAAGATGTTTTAGGAACAGCCCTGCAAAGCTCATCGGAGGGACAAGGCGTACGATACAAGACGGTTCTTTCTCTCTCTCTCTCTCTCTCTCTCTCTCTGGCTCTCTCCTTGTTCTCCTGAAGGCATTGACTTGTCTATTTTTAAACTCACATCTTTCATCCTTTGTTTTCGCCGCAGGGTTTTTTCCGTAGGACCATTCAAAAGAACCTCCACCCCACGTACTCCTGCAAGTACGATGGCTGCTGCATCATCGACAAGATCACACGCAACCAGTGTCAGCTGTGTCGCTTCAAGAAGTGCATCGCAGTGGGCATGGCCATGGACTGTGAGTGCCGTCGCCGTAGCAACCACGACCGACACTCACTGAACAGACACTTTTAAACAGCGGATTTGGCAAGTCATAGTGGGCGCCGTCTGCATGTGAAGGTCTTATGTCATCAGATGTCAGAAGCGCAGCAGGGCATGGCTTGGTTAGTGATGTGATGGGAGACCTCTGGGAGCAGCAGGTGCCACAGTGGGGCGGTTGTAAAGTGCCAAACTGTTGTTTATCGCCAGGCAAGAGGCTTCACCCACACTGTCTAGTTTGAGTTTGGTGTGTGCGTAATTGTGCATGATTAATACTGACATGTAATATATATGTCATGAATGCAATACAAAGGGAGAACTCAACTGCAAAAATAATGTTAATTAATAAACAAAAATTATAATATTCAGCACTGCAAACAGAACTCTATAAAGAAACAGGGACAAAAACACAATGGACCAGCAAGAAGAGGAGAGGAGCACAGGGTTTAAATACACACAGGGACACACAGGGGGAAGATATGAGGGTGGGGCCAGCAATCAACTGAACAGACATGCAGTAAAACTCCAAATATGTCGAAATATATTCAGATAAAAGTCATGAAAAAGTCAATAGCATGACACTGTATATACTCACAGTCTTTCAGCTCATTACACATGTATTTATTCTGGCAACCCCTTCAGATTTGTTGCAGACAGCAGAAGCAACTATTCTAGTAGACGGACCGTTATTTGCTTGTGTGGATTTAAATGTCGTTGTAGAAGCAAGCGACATCACTGCAGTGTAATTAAATGTAACAAGTGTACTGTCATTCTGAGGTACATTAAAAGCTACAGCCATTGTGACAAGCAGGAGACAGACCCCATCAGAAAACCTAGCATAACATTTCCACATACTGCATTTCTCCATGTAAAAAGCATTTTGACAGTTTTTCTTATACATGTATGTGTGGTATTATGGGCAACACGGTGGCTGATTGGATAGCACTTCTCAGCAAGAAGGCCCTGGGTTCGAATCCCGGTCAGAACAGGGCCTTTCTGAGTGGAGTTTACGAGTTTCCCCTTCCACAAAAAATATATGACAATACTGTAGGTCTGGCAATAGGTCTGGCATGCGCCTCCTGTATGGCGACCTCGCTCCCCAAAAGAAATTGTAAAGCGCTTTGTGACTCTGGTCTGTGAAAGGCGCTATATAATTAGCACACTATAACAAGTAATCTATATTAATGAAGATTACTTACTTACTTATTGTGTATTGTGTGTGTTTGTGTGTGTGGCAGTGGTGCTGGACGACTCGAAGCGCGTGGCCAAGAGGCGTCTCATCGAGGAGAACCGCGAGAAAAGGAAGAAGGAGGAGATGGTGAAGTCGCTGCAGGTCCGTCCAGAGCCCACGGGGGACGAGTGGGAGCTGATCCGGCACGTCACCGAGGCCCACCGGCACACCAACGCTCAGGGCGCACACTGGAAACAGAAGCGCAAATTCCTGGTAAAGTCATCTGTAATTACAGTGAATTAATATTTCAGTGCTGTGACCTTCACCAAAACTCTACCATCAGGCTTCAGAGACCTGCTTTTATAATAACCTTTCAGATGCAGAAAGGCCACGGGGTCTGGGGGCGGAGATTTTTACGGCTCATGTGAAATTTCTATAGGTTCAAAACCAAAATGACGCATCCAGTGACTTTCTCTTTTATGTACTTCCACACAAGAACAAGAATATTTCATTTTGCATCGTGTTGTATCTTAAAGCAGTATCGTATTCATTTGTTTAACATTATAACATAGTCCGCATTTGCCTTGAGGACATTCAATCAAACTAATCATTCATAATTGAATAATAATCATAATCATTTAAATTGAAATAACACACACTGGGCATTTCACTCTCTTTCTCACAAAACATTTGGTTCTATCACTATTTTTTGCATGTGTTTTTGGCCTCTATCTTTGTCTTAAGTTTTTTCAGTCCAAAAAGTGTTAAAGAGAGGACTACTTCCTCTCACCCTAACAGCTCTCAACCCAAAGAGTCAAATCGTGACTCAAGCAACTTTGTACAAGTATGTAAAATATATTAGCATGAAGGCAGCCTGCTGAATGCAAAAAATTAGGCACCCCAGCTTTAAAAAAGGCAGTAATCAAATGTATATATTGTTTATGTTCACAGAAGTCGTATCCGTCTCTCTGCCTCACCATGTTGCTTCTGTAATGTGATCGTCAGCCAGTCTCCTTGTCAGTGCCACTCAACTCGGCTTTCGTCTCCCACTCTTCCTCCTCACTGCTCAACTCCTCTCCTCCCTCTCTCTCCTCTCCCTACCTCGCCCATCTCTCTCCTCTCCCCCTCATATCTCTCTCCATCTCCTTCCCCACTTCTCACCTCCTCTCATTCTTCTTCTTCCTCTTCCTCATTCTTCTCCTCTCTCTCATCTCCCTCCTCTCACCTCCTCCTCCCCACCTCCTCTCTCTTTCACTTTTGCATCCATCCTAATCCCAGCTCCCACTTGACGTTCACTTCTTTCAAACACTTTCCTCACTCCTATAGCCCTAATCTGTTTCCTGTCCATGTGTGTCTGTTTTTCTTTCTTTCTTTCTCTGTGTTTGTTGCTCGTCTCCGTCAGGGTAAATCCTCCGACATAAGCACTCACTTGGCAGGCGAATTGGAAGTCGTAATTTTGGTTCATCCGAGCTGTCCTCCTGTTGTATCGTGCACATTTGGTTTTGGACAGAAGTGACATGGTTTTCTCCCCACGCAGATAAACTGTGGCGTCATGCTCCTCTTCCTTATGGTCCTAATCTTATTCAAACTATTCATTACGTGAGATTTCAAGTAGATAAACCAGGGCTTTCCAAGTATGATGCAAATTTGTTGAGATGATACTTATATAGTGAAGGCCATTTGGGAGCAGGGGGAGAATAGTTATGCAGTTCCAGATCAACATAATTATTTGATATTCTTTTGTCATTTTGCATGTAAAGTGTGGCATATTGATTTAGTAAAGAGTTAAAGGGGTGTCTCAAACTTAAATTTAAGACGCCTATTTCTGACCATATGACACTGTATGATTATGTACATTCAGTGTTTTTCAACAAGGCTAAAATAATTGGCAAAACTTCAACTAATAAGATTTTCTGGAGGAGAATAGTTAAACAAATGATGAGGAGCCTCAAGGATTTGAATTAATTTCGACCAATCAGGAATCTACAAAAGTGAGCTCATCTTCAAAAACATCCACTCTCAACTTTTACAATACTGTTTTTTTTACCTTAGCTATATCCATTAGTGGAGAACCCATTGAACCCAGTGAACCCAGTGAACCCTCCACCACGTTATCCAACTGGGGAGGAGAATTAAATTTACTTGAAAAGTGATAAATGAAATTGCAGCCACGTTCAAGCGCAGAGATTAGGGAGGACAGCGTTAAAGGTTGATCTGGGTGGATGACCACTCCAGAGATGTGAAGCGGAGGCTGAAAGGGAGTGCTCTGAAAAGACTCTTTCAGGCTGAACTTTTGCTTTAGCTCCATTTTACACACATCTGTCGCACAGGCCACTAGGTGCGGCTGAAGCACGTTTAAAGGAATAGTTCACCGTTTTTACATACTGACATATGTTCTTACCTTACCTTAGACTAGTTAATACGTACCTGTCTGGTCTTAGTCCGTGCGCTCTGTCATGCAAACGGAGCAAAAACGGGAGCACAACCGCAGCCTCCTCTGTATATTTTGTAGCACCAAAAGGTAGCTCGAGAGAGAAGTCTCCGGAGAGAAGTTAGTGCGCGGACGTAGCGCTCCTAACTTCTCTGCGCACTAACTTCTCTCCGGAGACTTCTCTCTCGCTGCTACTGTGTGTACTACAAGTCACGCTGCTTCTATTGACGGAAGTGAGCGAGAGAGAAGTCTCCGGAGAGAAGTTAGTGCGCGGACGTAGCGCCCCTCAGATTACTACGCCTCACAATATAGTACCCGTTTTATCCGCTGAGAAAATCGACAGTTATATTTCTGTGTTACTATACTTTGCAGTGTAACACGTCACGTAACTATATACATTTAATAGGGAACACTTGGAAGAGTTTGGTAGCTTCTAGCGGGAGCTACCTTTTGGTGCTACACAGTATACAGAGGAGGCTGCGGTTGTGCTCCCGCTTTTGCTCCGTTTGCATGACAGAGCGCACGGACTAAGACCAGACAGGTACATATTAACTAGTCTAAGGTAAGGTAAGAACATTTGTCAGTATGTAAAAACGGTGAACTATTCCTTTAAAGACGGGGTACGTAACTTATTTTTCCTCTCATAAATAACACAAGTCTGTCCCAACATAACAGTATTGTAAAGGTAGAACACTCTGAACAAATCAGATCATAACTTGCTGTCATGTTATTAGAAAACCTGTTATATTTTGCATACTTGTTTAAAAAGAGCCCTGAGAGTCACTATTTGATGCTTTGGGCAGAGAGCTGATTGGCTGAGTGAAGGTGAAGTGAAGGTCCTTTCTTTTTCCACATTCCTGTCTGAAGAAGATGATCTAAATATGTGACAAAGGCCAAAAAATTTACAAAACTGTTTTTAGAGCGAGAGACTATATAGATTACATAGTTGATTAATTTGGATTTAATTCTAACTTTCAGAATACAATTTCACGTATCTTCACACTAATACAAGGTTGAAAAGGGGTTGGATGAAGCAGACGCATATTTTTTTCCCAACCCCCTTCACTTAGCACCATTTTTTTGTGTTTTGAGAGTTAGCAACATTAGCTTTAAGTGCTATACCATCCATCTATTGCAGGGGTCGGGAACCCAAAATGTTCAAGGAGCCATAATTGACAAAAAAAACTAAAAACAACATCTGTCTGGAGCCGCAAAAAAATAACAGCCTTGTATAAGGCTTTTATGAAGTTAACACAGGCTGCAAGATGTATTAGCTATATTAGCCTAATATCTAAATGACAAAGTAAAGGCTACAAATACATGATAATCATTCATTATTTTCACTGCAGCGTGTCGTGAATGACGCAACACGGGACAACTCTGCTTTAGTTTAACTTCCATTTTTTTGCCTTCATGCAATTGTAGAAATACAGTAAATCAATCTGCTTTGGGCTCAGAGGTCACACACCTGCATCACTGTCTGCTCATATCCATCACGTCACAGGCTGAAGTTTGCTGGAGCTGAATCAAAATCCTTAATGGCCTTTTCTTTCACCGTCTTTGAGAAGGTTTTGAAGTCTGAAAATAGGTGCTCTGAATTTTTGATGAATGAATCCTTCACGTAATCACCGTGTACGTCGTTTTGCGCGTCATTGTTCCTCGTGTTGCAACAAAACTTTTCATTACAAACATGAAGCAGTCCTTCCTCATTGACTGAAAGAAAATGTTCATTCTTATTCTTCTCGAATCTTTCTCGTTTTAGCTTTGGGATCCATGTGCACTTACAGTCTATGATGCACACACGCCGGTTTGTTTACAGCAGCGGCCGCATGGGGCGGGGCGTGACCACGCGTCATAGGATATGGCGCACTACGTTGACAGAAATGTTGAAATTAGATATTACTTATACATATTTTTACAGCATTTAAAAACGTAAAGATTGTTTTTCCTTCTACAGAAACCACATTCAAACTAGAAATAAAATATAGCCCTCACACTCCATTTTCAGACATTTTTGAAAAGGCTTCAGGAGCCACTCCAGGAGCACTCAAGAGCCGCATGCGGCTCCGGAGCCGCGGGTTGCCGACCCCTGATCTATTGTATGTGTAATGTATGGGGCTGCATAGTTATTAGCCAATTTATCATCATTACACAGGTATATAACAATATTTAAAATGCCTCTTTGGTCCATGACTTAAAAGTGTTATTATTGAGCACAATACTTCTAACAATATGTCATCCACCAACTCATTTTAGCGTGGGAGCCCGAGTTCTCGTTAAATTTGTGTTAATACTAATAGTTTCATAGTTTCAATAGTTAAATGGAGCAGTAGTGACACTCCTCGCGGCCTATTGTCGGCACCGTTTTCTTACTTTCTCTAGATCAGCGTGAGCATTTTAACACTTTGAGGTTTTATAGTCTTGTTTTTCACTTTTATGAATGAAGCGTCAGTGTAAATGGCTGGAGACGGAGAGGTGCGGTGTATAAACAGTCAGTGGGTGGACAGTGAGTTAGCTCGGGTTGCTAAGGAACTAAAAGCCCTCAGTGGGATCATTATGAAGCTCGGCTCGGCAGGTGTGAAGTTTCCAGCAGAGAGGGGAAAAAAAAGATCAAATAATGGAAAAAAAAAGGGTTAGTTATTTTAGATTATTGTTTGCAAATCAACAACCAAAATAAACAATGGGGCATGAGACGCTGGTTCAGTGTTGGCTTTGGAAATGATCCAAAATCACCTCATTGGTCAAAATATTGTGAAAATAAAATAGTATGAGAAAATTAGAACGACTTTTTTGCACTTGTTTGATTTTGCATATAATTTACGTTTGTGTAACTTTCATTTTTGGTATATTGATTAGTTACACATTGTCACTATTTTAGATTCAATTTTGAGCATGAATATTTGGGATCTACTCATTTATTGGGGAAAAAAAGACGGTCCTACATTCACCACTGTCACCACTGTTATTTTGTTATAATTCATTATAAAAAAAACAAAAGCATACGCACGGTCATGACAGACAAATACAAGCAAAATAAAACAAAAACAGAAAAACAATATATCAGTCTTAAAACATAAATGAAAGCCATCTCTTTTTTTCTGTTTTTGGTGTCTTTGTTTGTCTCTTGTTGCTTGTTCCTTGGTTGTTCTTGCTTTGTGTTTTTTAGTTTAGTTTTAGTTTGGCTTTTTTTTTGCTATTAATTTTTTTTTTATCAAGGTTCTATGCCTGAATGTCTGGTGGCTCATATGGATCTGTTTCCTGAATCGACCCCTTATGCTTTCCTCTGCATCTCAATACATATACACTTCGCCCACTGTGAAAATAATTTGGACACAACCGTTTAAAACCATCTGCTTTTAGAAAATGATATTACTGTATATTAAATGGCCTCAGCCTATTGATAACTGTACAAACAAAGCCAAGTGCCATGGAAACCCATACCTCCAATACAATAATACGGGTACACAGCTGGTGGATGCATTTTTATTATTATTATTCCATATGCTATGAGGGCATTCATAAAGAAACGCAATATTGCCCTGTTTTCTTTCCTAAAGCGACAGGCTAAAACAAACACGGCCTTACATGCATGCGTGCTGAACTGAACTAGCTATAACAAACCACAGGCCATTCTGATGACGTCACCATGAGTTCATAGCTTACACTGTATCTCTCATGCAAAGATTTGGTCTGGCCTTATTTCCATAACATCCTGATTTGTTTGACTGGGCAATCTGACTGTCTTCGTACTGAACGGCATGTCATCACTTTCAGATTAGACGTTTCTAAGCTTGCCCGAATCTAAAGCTAAGTTTACGAAAACAGTGTTACAGCATTTAGATCCTCCTGTGAATTACATCCTGTATACTTTGGCCAGACCCAGCGTTTAGCTTTTGATATAGACGGATTCTGACATTGCAAGGTTTCTCCCTTTCGTTGTTTTTCTCTGTACATTTCTACGCTCTTAAATCGTAATCCCAAATGCAATTCCAGTCCGAGCAAAAGCGTAAACAATCTCCCGCTTTTCCCAATCATGTGCGTTCCCCGTAGGTTGCGAGCGAAACTTTTAATTTTCCAAGAACTTTATGCAAGCTGGCAGTTTCGACTTGCCGGGAACTCCAACCGCACAAACTATAAAGACTTTCCCATATGCGGCACGTAAACGCTTGTAGTCGAAAATATTGATTTATCGTCGTTGCTTCTTCATATATGTGCTAATAGCTCTGACAGACAGAACGGATGGAAACGCTGTGATGTTGAGTGGTGGGGTGTGCTGGGAGCTGAGGCGTGCAAAAAGGCTTCAGAAAGATTACACAAACAAATATTTATATTCTAGTATTTTCATTTCTTAATTTCTCAATTCAAACAGACCAAAGGTTTAAAGCTGATTACATAAAAAGGACTATTCTGGAGAACTGCTACAAACATGGTCCTATTGAGATTAAGAACCTGTTTTTCAAGGGAGTCCTGGACAAGAGGCAGCAAAAGTTTAGTTAAATGCTGAGACTTTATGCACACAAAAATGCTGATCAAAACTTAATTAATTTTTACTAGTCTAGTTAAATCAGGCCACAACAAGCTGTCTTTCTCTTATTCAAAAAACATGTTATTTGTTGCATACTTGTAAGAAAATGCCCCATGAGTCAGTTAGTTGATGCTTTGGGCTCACATTTCTGTCTGAAAAAGCTGATCTGAACATGTGACTGAGGCCAATAATGCATGCATGTGGAAACGATATAGAACCAAACCTTCTTAAGAACAAGCGAGGACATGGATGTTATTACAAAGTTAGAAACCCCAGCATGTGGCCGCAGAACTAAAAAAGGTCTTGTTTTGATTCTAAAATCCTTAATGACAAAACAAGGATTTTATAAAACCAGGATTAACTTTGTGAAAAGGGTGTTGGTTACAGATTTGTTATCGACAAAACTCTTATTCAGATATTATGCTCCCAGCTCTATTTGCCTGCATATCTGGCAACCTGAGTCAGGGAGAATGCAGCCCCACTTTTGGCCAGATTTTTACATACTGCTCCTTTAACAAAATAATTAGAATCATAATTATTTTACTGCCATGTGAGTAAGAAGAAGTCACAAACTAGGAAGGTGCTTTGGCTAAAAAAAATATGAATTAGTGTAGTTTACAATCCTATATTCGCCCAAATATGAAGTAACTTTTGAACCTCAATAAATGAACCAAACTGGGGTAATTAGGCAAGCTTTTCTTTTCGGTCAAAACTTGAATATAACCATGCAATATAACTATGTATTCTAACCTGGGAATACACAAAGCCCCATTATACTTTTTTCCATCTTCCCTCTGAGTTCTCTTTGCTTCCACGGCCTTCTCTCACGACCATATCCTTTCCCCGACTATGATCCTTCTTCCCCCCAGAGAGCCGTTTCCTCCGAGAATCCTCGAGCAAACGCCACTGACCTGACGCGCCAAAACCCGTAGCTTTGTCTTGGCCTCGGCGTGGCACCCGAAAGCAGTCCATCACGGCTATTATTCCAGTGATTTACATTTTCCATAATAGAACGTCGGTTGCATGGCGGATAATTGGCCGCAGCTTGCACTCATTCACGCAACCATTTCTCCCCATGGATTATTATTGATGACTCCCAGTGAGCTGACGCGTCCTGTGCTATCTCAGCCCAGTTTGAATAATGACTCGAGCGATGATATATCCACAATTTACAGCGCCACAGAGCTGGATAATTTATGCTATGATTCCCATAATTTTGTATACTAATCTGGCATAACACAGTGAGCAGCTTAAATGATCTTTTCCTTGTGGCACCTGTTATGTGGTTTGTAACAGTTTGACCTAAATGTTATGATGGAAATGATTCTTACATTGGGGTGACACTGCCAAACGGCTGTATTATGATATTATGAATTAGTAGATTGTGTGGGGTCCTGCCTGTCTGTCCGCAGCGGTCATTTTTCTTCCAAAACAGTGTGAAATCTGCAAATGAGAACAAGACCGGCAAATGTGGTCTGAATGAAAAGGAAAATGACGCAGTAAGGCAGTGCAATAAATCAAATTTTAATCATGGTGATTCTTCAAAGACACAAAATCCCACAAAAACAAAGTAATTAAAGATATTAATTCAGTTTTGCTTTGAATGAAATGGCCACTTTCTCTCCTATAGTATAATGTGTTAAAGCTACAGCCTTTTGTCACAGACTTCTTTTGAGAGCTAATATAGAATGCAATCAAATAATCATGATTTCAAGTTTGAGTATTAAAGGTTAGGAAGAAAAGTTTTGCATTTTTTCTCCTATTATAATGTTTTAAAGTGGAGGTCAGTTGCTTATAAACTTGTGAAGTTGGATAGACATTTTTTGAGTGCAAGTATCTGCTAGACCCGCCCCCACAGCTTCCTGATTGGACGCAATGAATTCAAACCCTTGATAGACAGCTGAAACCCCTCACCATTGGTCTAACTTTTCTCCTCCTTCAAATCTTTCTGGTGGTGGTTATGCCAAAGAGAGGGACTGCTTTAAATATATTTCAAATAAACAATAACAAGAGATGAGAAACTTAATACTAAAGGTTAATATGGTCAAAAAGGTTTCATATGGTCAAAAATGTGTATTCTTATGAATATGAAATACCATTGAATATGTTGAAATCACCTTTTAGTGCATTTTAAAAGATGTTCAATTATTTTGGATTATGATTCTAATCCAGATTCCACTTTACTAGTACTTGTCTTTTTTTCATATATAGCAAGTTCCTTAAAGAATGAATATGTTTTATTATTTTTAGCCTCTAAATTAATAATAATGCTTCATACAAACTTTTTCACCTCATATTTAAGACATGTCCAACTCCAAATATTATTGAAGTATTTGTCCTTGGTAGGAACCGCATGTGAACGCTGTGAAATCTCTGGTCCTGTCACTTGTGCTGCGTTCCAACTATAAAACATTTCTTACTGATTCACGATCCCAGACCACTGCATCTTCTGTCATTTTTCCTTTCATATATTTTTGCCGGGCCACGCCTTTTGTTTGTAGACTAATCACTGCGGAGGACATTCCCCTGCTCTAGTATTGAACTTTTCGGCCTCGAGTAAATTGTATAATGCACTTTTTGGCTTCACAAAACCTTTCCTTTCTGTTATTGATGACTTCGCCCTATAGGTAGCAGCATCATTCATTTCAAGATTCCCATAACTTTGTGTACGTACGCCCAAGTTTCCAAGTGCAGTATACTGTAGGAGAAAGTGCATCTCTGCCCTCCTCCAAACACGACCCATTCTTCTCACAAAGCACTAACCGCTCTTCTTATCTGATAGATTGCTTTTAATTTGTCTTCCCAAGGCTTGTCCGGACTTTGCAGGAGACGAGCAAAAAGGGCATGAAAGTTTAAAAGGCGGTTTTGTTGCCTCCACTAAATCCTCCTATAAGCCCAGCAGTCACATTGATAGCTTTGTCTATAATTCTGTACTTCTAAAACGCTTACAATACGTGCATCGGCCCAGACCTTGTTTTCATAACCTCCGCGAAAATGTCCAGGTCTATATATTTTGACCATTGCGCCGGACGCTATCTTCATAACTCTAGCGGCGTCCTTTCTTCTTCTGTATATATTTATGATGTTTTCTGTTTTCTTCCCCATGCAGCCAGAGAAAATTGGCCAGTCCCCCATCGCCCCCTCGTCGGACGGAGACAAAGTGGACCTGGAGGCCTTCGGCGAGTTCACCAAGATCATCACTCCCGCCATCACACGTGTCGTTGACTTTGCCAAAAAACTGCCCATGTTCTCAGAGGTAAATAAAACACTTTAAAGAGCATTTACTGGGAGGCTGCCATCTTATGTCAAATGGTACATTCATGAGAGTTGGAGAGATTCTAACTAATGGAATCAACTGGTTTACTTCACTTTCAAACCACAAAAAACGAATTAGGTGGAAAATCCATGTAAATAGTTCCACGCTCTTAAAATACTTGGTTCTATAGTTTGCTCTATAGCTCTTTCAAGTCTTTAGATCAGCTTTTTAAGGCTGAAAAAAGAAAAAAAGTAAACCATTCTTGCTCAGCCAATCACCTCTCAGCCAAAAGCGTCAAAAAGTGACAAGGTTCTTTCTTACAAAAATGATAACTGATGTTTTATAATACATACATTTATATTTGATTTATTCACAACATTTGACTTTTACTATTTCTGTTAAAAGCTGTTTTCAGATTCCTCAAACTAAAGCAATAAAACTAAGTACAGCTTATTCTGGAAATTCCAAACAAAAGACAATATATAGCTAGATACGTCATTACTCCCAAAGGAAATTAAGACTTTTGCTCAGTACTAATTATGATAATGAAGAAGTTCAATTCATTTTTTTTCATACAGCCCTAAATCACAACAGCAGCAGTCTTGGAGGACTTTACAAAGTTGCCGACCAACAACATTCACTAACAGTAAATCATAGAAAAAACCAGAGGAGCCATTGGTCCATCGAGAGCAGGATGACCACTGTCCATAAATGTTTATAAATGTCCCTAAAATGGCCAAGAGAAAATAAGATAAACTTTATTGATCTCACAATAGAGAAATGTACATGTCACATTTGGCATAGATAAAATCACTCAGGATTTGCAAAAAGAAAGGAACAGAGAAAACACGTCAAAAAAGTTAAGTTAGTTCCTTTTGTGCAGGATATATCATGTACAATAAAAAAGCAAAAGTGACTATAGCAGTGCAAGTTTTTCAGTCCTAGTGCAGGCCATTAAAGTGACTTATTTTACAGTCTGACAGCGGTGCAGATGAAGGCCCATAATCACTGTCCTTAGACCCTTCTGAATCGGCAAGCAGCAAATAAAACAAAACATAGATATATAAACTGCTTGTCTTCAGAAGTTCCGCGTAATGCTGTAGTTTAAATACACTGACGTTTGTTCTTTGCTGTTCCGCTGATAAGATGCATAAGTGAATCACCGCCATGTGAAAGGTTTTCTGGCCGAGGTACAGTTGCATCTCTATCCACACAAGCCTGTTGGTTTTCATGGAAATAATTGCTCTACTCAGAATATTCTGCAGTGTCACGAAATTGTCAGTGAAGATACATTTAACCGGGTGAGACGGAGGTTAGTTATTGATGTACAGCTCCTGAAATGGTTTAGGTCCATGATCAGTGTATGGTAAGAGCAGCACTCTGATAAAAAGGATTGTTTCCCGTATATATGTAATGGCATTCTACGTCGTGTGCGTGCTACTCTGCTCGACTTAAATTGCATCTACGACGTACTTTAGGACGCAATAGGCAACCCTTAAGAAAAGCATCTGTATTTTCAAGTGTCCTCATCGCAGACATTATAGGTTGAGTTCATTTTATTGAATTTCAGTTTCAGTTGGAGCCAATACAAGTCCAGGGGAAGAGGTGTGGAGAGGGGTTACGAAAGAAAATGTCCAAATGTTTTTACAGATCGCTATAGGGATTGAACTCACAAACCCACCATAGAATAGTCTCAGAGTCCTTCCTCTTGGTCAGCATCATTTGATTTGTCCTGACAAAGAAGTGGAAATATAAACTTTGTGACGGTTTGTGTTTCATGTGGACAGTTTACCCCAGACTCTAAAAGATACTGCTTAACTAAGTCCAGGGAGAGACCAGAGAGTGATCAGAGAGAGACCAGAGAGAGACCAGAGAGAGACCATAGAGAGACCATAGAGAGACCAGAGAGAGACTAGAGAGAGACCAGAGAGAGACCAGAGAGAGACCAGAGAGAGACCAGAGAGAGACTAGAGAGAGACCAGAGAGAGACCAGAGAGAGACCAGAGAGAGACCAGAGAGAGACCAGAGAGAGACCAGTGGGAGACCAGTGGGAGACCAGAGAGAAACCAGAGAGAAACCAGAGAAAGATCAGAGAGAGACCAGAGGGAGACCAGAGGGAGACCAGAGGGAGACCAGAGAGAGGTGGTCTGCTCTCCAAAGAGGTCTGTGAGCTGTGATCTGCCTGTTCTGGAGGTTCTTTATGAATCCGGACTTATAAAACCGACCTCTTAGAATAATCAATTACCCTTCTGGTCCCTGGAAAAGCCATGTTCCAGCTTCTTCCCTCGGGCTGAAGATATTGATTGTTGAGATGCAGGACATCTCTATATGCTCGAACAGCTTTCTTCCACAAGCTACTATCAGTTTAAACGAAGCACTTGAACTGAATCTGTTTTTGTTGGTTGATTTCATAGTGACAATTGTTTACTGGACTTTTTACATTTGTTTTATTCCTGCAGTGTTAACCATGTCTTATATATGTACTTGCCTTGTGCAAATGTATTCCAAATAGATGTTACTAAATGACATATAAATTAACCTGCATATGGATCTGAATCTGATTAGTTTAGGAATTGAAGAGAAATTATCTTTAAACTAAGAATAGAACTTTGGACAGTTGCCATAGTTACGGTTATGGAAAGAGTGTTCAACTGCGCTCCTCCACACGTTGACAACCACACTGCAGTGTTCATCCTACAATGTGACTTATAAAAGATATTGCTGTAACAAATGTGTAGTGAAGGAGGAGCAGCTCTTGTCTCTGATTGAAATCTTGGAATTGTGTTCGCTCTATCTGGTTCACTAGTAATGAGGTCGCCTCTGATTGGATAATTGTCTGGGTCTAACGCGACAGGGACAGGCCGTGTTTGGGGAAAGATGCAGATCTGAAGTTGAACAACAATCAGCTGATGCCAATAGATATCATCAACAAACATGCAATATTACGCAGGAGGCTATTTTCATCGATCCATGTCCTCAACTGTGTGTGCAAAGTCAAAAAGCGTGAGAAATGTTAGCTTTAGATCTGTGCGTGCTTTATAAATCAGTTTGCTCCGATGTTAGGGTGAGAATCATTTTTGCACAGAATAAAACTCTTGATATTTGCCCATTTGTTCAAATATGCAACAACATTTATCTTGTGGTCCAGTGAATCTAAGTCGGGCATGTCCAAACTCAGGCACGCGGGCCAATTGCGGCCCTCTGTGCCATTAGATGTGGCCCTCTGCTGCTAAGGCACTTTGACAATGTCATTCAACCAACTTCAGCTCCACCAATACAGTCATGCTATACCTTGTTGTAAATCTCAGAGCCTCCGGAAACCAGTCGTTGACTCTATCGTTATTTACTGTCATTTGTTTTATGAACTGTGGTGTGAATCCATAAGGACGTGTCATAACCCATTTTAAATTCTAGGATCCAGTCAATCCAGCTTGAATCCAGTTTTTTTAAATCCAGGTCGTCAGCCCCAGGTCAAGTCTGACAAACTAAAGTGGCTCTTTAACTAGAAAGTTTGGACACCCCTGATCTAAGTGATGCTGCATGATAAAGATATGAAAATGTGTGCCAAACATGTTTGAACTATTGGCCCGTTGTTTTTTTTTAAATGCATTGTTGAATTCCCCCAAAAACAGTTGACTTTTCTTTGATAGAAAATGTTGCCGTGTATAAAATATGTTTGCGCATTCTGAAAAACAGCACATTTCCCAACAGTGACCAAAGCATCTGTTAACTATAGAATAATTTATGACACTTTTGTAATTTAGAAAGAGAAAGGAATTCCAAAGACTCTGAGGTTATCTTAATACCAACAGTAATGGTATAAAACTGTCATTTTTATTGCTTTCATTATCGTTTATCATCATCTCCTTTTTCGAGCGAGCCCCCTGCTGAAATATACAGTGTGTGCCAGAGGAATAGAGTGATGAATAATACATTTGTACAAACCCAGTGGAAGAAAACTCACAGGCGTTTTCATTATAAAACATGCAGAAAACGTAAACTGCTATTGCTAATATATTCTGTTTATGTCGTATATAAATGATTACAATCAGCCATTTCCATCTAAACTAACTAGTCTGGATCCTCCTGGTCATTCCGCTGCAGTAATTACAGATACAAATCTTTTACCCACCAGAAATGTGTTGTATGTAATATTATTCTATTACTATGTGTCCCTGCTATAAACGTCTCAGAAAGTAAAATGTATTCACACAACAGAGTACGTCCCATGAATTCCAATTAGGGCTGCACGAGTCAAAAGAAATATCTAAGTGCTTTTTTTTTAAAAGATTATAATTTGTTTTGTGTTATGAGGCTGCAGACAATAGAAGAATTCAAATGTGAGAGAAAAGTGAAAGATTGATGGTGATATGTGGCTCAGTTGGTAGAGCATTGGCCTTTGAGCCTGAAGGTTGTGGGTTCGAGCCCACCATAAGACTTTCACCACCGACTCCCTCTGATGTCTGCTGTTGTTGTGTCCTTAGGCAAGACACTTCACCCACATTGCTTAGAATGAGTCTGGTGTGTGTGTGAATGGTTGGTGGTGGTCAGAGGGGCCGATGGCACATACTGGTTGCCTCGCTTCTGTCAGTGTGCCCCAGGGCAGCTGTGGCTACAGTACCGTTTATCACCACCGTGTATGGAGTGAAAGAATGACATGTAAAGCATCTTTGAGTGTCCAAAAAAGCGCTATATTAAACCAATGCATTATTATTATTATTATTATTATTATGTTGAAATTAAAAGGACAGTATGCAATATGCAATCATTGTGGTCTAATCATATCATTACAATTAAAATCACAGAATCATCCTGCCTGTGTCACATGTAGTTCCTAAACACTGATTACAGATGCAAACACCCTACTGGAGTTTAGCAAGAAATGGTACAAACTCAAACTATGGGGTATTCTTTGGTTTGTGAATTTTGTTGTGTATAAAAAAAGATTGAACCAAGACAAGCTAGATTTCACCAAACTGAGGCAACCCAATTGAAAGCCTGCTCTCTGATTATGACATAATTTGCTCTGTATGAATCGTTCTTTCGTTCAGAAAAAGTCAAATTTATGTACATGTGACCTGCTATCTTGGGACACATGTCAAAAAATGTGCTTAAAACTAAGACAGAATGGAGTCATCTTTTTCATTTTCAAATAAAACTGTAAAAAAAAATACTTCTATATTTAGCTTTTGTTTTGAAAGTAATTAATGCAACCTAAATAATAGCAATGTTTGTGATTTGCTAATTGCTGCTACTGCTAGAATCGCAATTTTGATTATTCGATTCCGATTAGTCTCACAGCCCTCATTCCAATCCATCCATTCAGCCTTTTACGCCCGATGAAATAAACATTAAATTCACTTAAGTCTGTGGATTTAATCAAACTGCTCCGTGGGCTCACAATCTCATATCCATGTAAATCAGCTCTGTATAAGTAATAATCTGGTGTCATTGGAGGCAGATCTGGCAGCCCACCGTGAACCGGCTGCTCTCCTGTCTCTCTGCTTAAATCATCCTCGCCGTTCACCTCTGCCACGTTCTGACCCGCTTTCATTTATTCTGTGGGTCTCGCCGTCCCTCCCCGCCCCAGACTCTCCCCTGAATCCCAAATATGTTCACGTATATATGCTGCTTAAATTACCCTGTTTGAACAAGGGAAGACGGGTATTAAGAAGAAGATTAGCAAATATAACTATGATATTCTTAAACGATCCGTGCGTTTCATGGATTTATGTATGTGTGCTTTAAAGGACACATATACTGCTTTGTTTGTCGTATTTTTGGCTCTGAAAGTGAAATGTATAACAAGAAATTTAAACGTTATTATTATCTTAATGCTAGAGATTTTATACTTGTTGCTATGTTATGCTAAAGCTAGAGATTTTATACTAGCTTCTTTATTATGCTAAAGCTGGAGATTTTAAACTAGCTTCTTTATTATGCTAAAGCTGGAGATTTTAAACTAGCTTCTTTATTATGCTAAAGCTAGAGATTTTATACTAGCTTCTTTATTATGCTAAAGCTGGAGATTTTAAACTAGCTTCTTTAATATGCTAAAGCTAGAGATTTTAAACTAGCTTCTTTACTGTGCTAAAGCTAGAGATTTTATACTAGCTTCTTTATTATGCTAAAGCTAGAGATTTTAAACTAGCTTCTTTACTATGCTAAAGCTAGGGATTTTATACTAGCTTCTTTATTATGCTAAAGCTAGAGATTTTAAACTAGCTTCTTTACTATGCTAAAGCTAGGGATTTTATACTAGCTTCTTTATTATGCTAAAGCTAGAGATTTTAAACTAGCTTCTTTACTATGCTAAAGCTAGAGATTTTATACTAGCTTCTTTACTGTGCTAAAGCTAGAGATTTTATACTAGCTTCTTTATTATGCTAAAGCGAGAGATTTTATACTAGCTTCTTTACTTTTTGTGACTTTAGTTCTGCTGCGATCCTCACGTTCTAATGGGCGTAAACTTATTTGATATTAAAGCTGGGGTACGTAACTTTCACCATGTTAGTTCTTGGCTCAGCTTGGTTCTATCCCTATAGTTTTCACATGCATGTATGGCCTCTGTCTCATCTGTAGACCAACTTTCTTAGACAGAAAAGTAAAAATGAGAAGATTTTTTTTTTTTTTTTAAAGGACAACTCACCCTCAAGTCCACTTTTTTTTGCTGATAAACGATTTAAATGAGTGTCCAATAGTGTTGTCTACATATCCTGGTCATAATTTTGTCACTTTGGTGCAAATTAGTTGAAAGTTAAACTTTCTGCCTAAAACCGTCTGTGAGGCGCCATCTGCTGGCGACCTGTATTACTACATTTGAATTTTGAATCTGGCGCCAACACTGGCGCGGCAGCAAGACCTGACGTCTGAAGCAAGACCTGACGTCAGCAGCCCCCCGGCCAGAGCAATGTAAACGGCCCAGTCTCGTTCACGCCCCCTTCAGTCCTCCAGGCTACGCCCATTTAGAGGAAGATTTGAACAGGAAATGTGTGACTTTAAATAGTGACTCACTATCTCTTTTTTACAAGTATGCAAATGATGAAATGTTTTCCAATAAGATGGTTTGGAAGATGTATTCACAAAATGTTACTTGTTACTTCATCTTACAACATGTTTTCTGTTGAGGACAAACGATTTATGAACATACCAGAAACCTCCTCGACCTTTTCCTTTGTCCTACTTTTCTGTTAGTATTATCATTTATGAGATTCTTGTCTGGGTTTGTGTAGGACATTACTGAAACGTGCACAAACAAGCTTCAAACCATGCGTTATAGGGTTCGGGTTAACGTTGCATAATATGTGCAAAACATCACCAACGGCACACGTCGGACGCTCTGCTTTTGTTCCTCAGCTGATGTGATGCACTTGATTGCTTGGAATGTTCCACAGACAGAATTACATCAACTCGAACACAATGAGGAGAGCATGTGACGCCGCAGAGCCAGGGCTTTTTTGCCAGTGAAAAAGCCTGTAATTGAGTAGATGCAACATAGATAAGAATAAACTCTGTAATCCACTAAGTAAATTATTAGTCGACTAAAGACTTACTTTGGGCATCGAATTATCATTAATCAGAAGAGCGAGATAAAAGTATTTATACGATCTGATCTGATTTAAAGAGGAAATGAATGCAATTTTTTTTATATAATGTAGACTGATAAATGTATTTACTGTATATATTCCTGAATATTAGCCTTCCTATTCAAACTGTGACTGTTTTTGGTAATTAGTTGAGTCAATATTTTTACTCAGAGAATCCCTTTTTATATACTGCTTCACCTGACCCACGTGTGAGTAAAGGGCTTTAAACGGGTTTGGTTGAATTTGTGTCTAAATCACTACTTTAATTTGGTTGTAGCGTTCCTTCTAAACACTCCTCAGGAAAAATACATGTAAATCCGCCATTGTCAAAAAAGCAACTTTTCAGATTCAGTAAGGCAAGTATACTAACCACAATGTTAGTCGTTTTTAGTAAATAATCAATAGACATTTGCAGAAAAATCAACTTGGATTTCATGTGCAGCAGTATCCCAGTGAGCCTGGTGCACACTATATAAATATATATATTTTTGCTCAGTGGAGTAAGACTAGAAACAGAGTAGGGTTCCTTCAGTGTGAACAGGCCTTCTAAGCTGGCGTGTGTGTGCGTGTTTCAGCTGCCTTGTGAGGACCAGATCATCCTGTTGAAGGGCTGCTGTATGGAGATCATGTCTTTGCGAGCCGCCATGCGCTACGACCCCGAGAGTGAGACGCTGACCCTGAGCGGAGAGATGGCCGTGAAGAGGGAGCAGCTGAAGAACGGAGGCCTGGGCGTGGTGTCGGACGCCATCTTTGATCTGGGCAAAAGCCTGGCGCAGTTCAACCTGGACGACACAGAGGTGGCGCTGTTACAGGCCGTGCTGCTCATGAGTTCAGGTGGGCTGTTTTATATTTATGTTAGCCTGGAATACACTACTAGATCTTTCTTAAATTGTTACATTTTGTCTTTAACTTTAATTTATCTTACTCTAAAGCTGGGGTACAATACTTTCAAATCATCAAAAAATGGCGTACAATCAAACTAGTTCTTATCTCTCAATACAGTTTTGTTCTATCCTTTGCATCCACTCGTATTGTTTGGTCTAATTTTCTCCTACAATTTTACTTTTACATAACTTTTTCTGTTGGGACAAACAAAATGTATTATCAAAAACAAACAAGTTAGGCACCCCAGCTTCAACTGGCATACCTACAAAATTTTATTCAGATTATCACAACAAGAGATCATATATTAAACCAACCCTATTCAAGGAACCATTAACTTATAAATGACTATGTTTAGTTGGTCTGCCCCCTTGCATCCATCAATTTGACTTTTCTATCTATTTGTGAATGAATTTTACTATGAATGGTTGAACAAGTGTCTATCTTTACTTCACACACTATTGAGTAATGCCATATTCTACAATGTGAAAGTGACGTGTCGAAAAGGATTCAGTACAATTTTCTTCATGTATCATTTCTTTCCAATGTTGTAATCCACCATGTGTGCCGGACCCTTCGACCGGCAGCGTTCGCCTACAGCCTGCTCATCGATCATTGACAAATCAGAGCTGTACCTCTACATATGGCAGCAAGTTGATTCGTAGTTTCAATACATTATTTTGAAAAGCATAGCCTATTTAAAAGCTGTTTTGAGTTCTGCATAGCTTGTGATAGGCTTAAACTTAAAAGAATGTGTCCATGTGTTCACCAGACCAGCGCACGACGTCTGGCTGGAGGTGTCTGGGTCTCTGCTTTCACGGCAGGCGGTACTGCTGTCCTTCTGCTGATGAATCATGTAAAACATATGCAGAGGACTGGGATCAAATTCTGTCTCCATGTTTGTCTGCCACACTTATGCAATATCCTCCAAAAGACAGCCCGGAACAACTGTTTGGGATTGGACGTCTTCCCGTCTCGGAAATAACAAAGGGATGGGCAGAGGTGGATGTATTGAGATGTGCAGGGGTTCCGGAGCGATGGGAATGTTTCTGTGACCATTTCTATGGCGTTGAACTCAAAACAAATCGCTCCTTCTTTTGAATGGTCAGACATTCTAAAGATTGAACCTATACCCAGAAACTGAAGCCCATAATACCACACAACGGGCTGTTTTATATAGTTATAAGAGAGTATTTGGAGTTGGTATTCCTGTTTTACTTTAACTTTACTCGTTGCATAAGATTTGGTAGCTCAGTGGCTCTCATGCTTCTAGTTGGTGTTTAAAGTAGTAGCGATATTGTTACTGAATCAGAAAGGCCATTGTAGGTGTAATATTACTAATATTAAGTACGTATATCAGCAGCTTCAGTAATAGTATTGATGCGATGGCAGATGCCCTATATTCTTTGGAAATGAACAACAACTATGAAATAACCATCTGTCTCTTGCCTTCTATAACTGGAGCTTTGTCGTAAGTAATTTCATCAAAGAAATGACTCAGATCTATTCTCACAGTATTATTTTTCTCATTCAAAGTAGAGCAAATTGTGCATGTTGTTATTATTGTCATACTATGAATGAATTTGAATTTCTCTGGATCAAAACAATGTGTCTACCTTTTGTTTCTTTCTTGTTTTGTTAAAGGTGTAGTTCTTACTCCCATCTAGCGTTGAGATCATAATTTTGTAATTTACTGTACTGTACTTCGTAGGACAATATGTGGTCTTTGACAGTGGTTCCCAACTCCGGGGCAAACTCCTTTTGGTCCCTTTGCAACCGCTGTATTTCAAGATGCCGCATTGACACAGAGAGTCCTCCAGCCTCATGGACATTTATAAGTCAAATTCTAAGTCTATGTAAACAATTCAAAAACATGGTGGAGGTAAATACTCTTAAAGGTCACATTTGTTTTTGTTTAACATGTTTTTTCATTTGGAGCAACTGTGATAATTACAAAGAGTACCTTTAAGCACATGGAGTTGCCTCATTGTATGTAATTTATTTGAACACGGACAGTGTACAGTTAAGCATTAACACAAAAGGAGAGACGCATGTACCAGGTTATAGCAGAGATGCTAATTTCCACCTGTAGTCCCACCTGTAGCCTCATGAATGAACTGTTCTATACAAATAAACCTGCCTTGCCTTGCCATAACCTTTAGCTTGACTGTCCCTCTGCTGCTTCACAGATCGCTCTGGCCTCACGTCCATGGACAAGATTGAGAAATGTCAGGAAACCTACCTGCTGGCGTTTGAGCACTACATCAACTACAGAAAGCACAACATTCCCCACTTCTGGCCCAAGCTCTTGATGAAAGTGACCGACCTGCGCATGATCGGAGCCTGCCACGCCAGCCGCTTCCTCCACATGAAGGTGGAATGTCCAAACGAACTCTTCCCACCCCTCTTCCTGGAAGTCTTCGAGGACCAGGAAGTTTGAAATCAAATCACCACGACAACACATCAGAAAGGGAAGAGGCTGAAAGATTGGGTCGCAAATTTTTTTTGGGAAAAAGGGTTGTCCCAAACTGCAGGAATCGTAACATATACACATGGATTTGAAACAAGAACAACTGAAAAATCAACAACTCACCAGCAAAAATAGTCAACCAACAGGGCTTTTGTTTTACCTCCTCCTTTTTACACTTTTTTTAAAATCGCAAAATGGGGGCCCTTCTGTCTGAGCATGATGTCTTATTTAGTCTGAGTTGTAGCCATTTTGCCAAGAAAGCAAACACCACAAAACAAGACCGCACCTCAGTCCTTCATTTAGTTCGATGTAGTCCTTTTTTACATCACAGACTTATTGTTTTGTGTTTTTGACACCCATATCTCAAGCTTCCTCGCTGATCAGCACCTGTCAGTATTAAGTCTGAAGTGTTAAGACAAACTACACAATACACAGTCAAACATTCGCACACCGACATTCAGCAAAACACTGCACATTGAAAAGGTCAGCTTTACAATGGCTGCTGTAAAAGTAAATCTACCAGACCTAACTATATCTGAGCCATTACAGCTGATATGGAGCTCCTCCACTTCTTAAATACTTGTCTCCACTGGTGCTATTCTTTACAAAGCTCCTCCAGTTTTATGAAATTGTGTTATCTACTTGCAGACCATGGCTCCATATCTACCTTCATGCGTGTCATTGGAGTGTCTACGATGGCTCGCACACACACACACACACACACACACACACACATAGAAGTTAGAAGACCTGCTTTGTCATTGCCTTCGCTGCCTGTGCCAGCAGCCGAGCATCTTATGAATGACAATTAAGTCCTTCTCTGTTCAAGGAGGCACTAAAGAAAGAAGGAGAGGAGAAAGCGATGGAGACACTTAGGAGGCCAGCAGAGCTGTGTGGAAATAAGATTTAATAGATGGTCTCAGATGCAGAGCCAGGGGTCAAAGTAAATCTATGCCTCAGAGGAGGACTTAAAACGCAGAAGAAGGCAGCAGAGCTCATGTTACAGATACGTCTCTATCTCTTCTAAATAAACATTACCACCTCAGAGTAACAAGAATGCCTCATTTACTGTACACTGCAGCTCAGCTGTGTCTGTATGCGCCCGTACCTGCAGGGCTGGGGTCCTCCTCTAGGGGGCTCCTCTCAGTGCGGCTCGTCCAGGCTCATCACACACTTGCCTTTAACCCACGGGCCCGACTGAGTGCAGGCTAATGCCAAGAAGGCTAGTACATTTACCTCAAAGCAGACACAACCCGGGCTGGGGCCCCTGTGCTGTCAGGCACTACCTCACCTCTGTGGACACAGGGCCGTCGCCCTCAGCCGAACACACCAGAGCAGTGTGACACACACGTACACACACCTGCTGGTTTAATGTGATGCCACTGACGACAGGAGGGCCGGCCATGCCCACACACAGAGGGCATGGTACCCATACATTCGGCTTGTCTTTTTGTTTTTATGTGGGACCAAGTGTCACCAAGAAGGACATTGTGGATCAGCCCAGATGACACCGACAAAGAACAACCTACAGTAACACAACCCATGCGGCCACGCCCACTCGAATAGAAATGCATAGACATGGCTTCCGGTACACTTCTGATCAGCCACTGGTATTTTAAATACTCAGCAGATGCTATTTTGGTCTTCACTACCGGTGCTCATGACAATAACTCCAGGTCCTCCGCTAATATCCACAGCGGTACTCTCTGTGTAGACACAAAAGGCAGATTACTGTATAATTTCATCAGAAGAGGCCACTCTGTTCATTCCACTTCTTGGGGCCAAGCCAACACTAACTGGGTTTACCACACCGCATCGGAACTGGACAAATGTAAGAAAAATGATACAAAAAAGGTTTTACTCATTGATACCAAGCAGTTGACAATACTGAGCACATGACGATGGCTATTGTCAACCTCTCAGAAAACAACAGCGTGAAATCCTTACCGCAAAGATGGCTACTCCTCACTGCTTCAGTTTTACTAATCTTCAGAGAACGTGAAAAGGCAAAACCTCAGCATCTATTGGAATCACATTTAGATCCCGAGCCTCCCCGTCTGATGTGACTCTCCTGGTGTCGTCGTCCCACACAGCCAGTCTGTGTTTTTGCACTACTGCAATCTGACCCCTCTGGCCCCAACACAAATCACTTTGAAAAACCAATCGTTAGTCGCCTGCACATGCGGGTCCGCCCCAGGCGTCTGGACCTGCTCTGTTAAACAGAACAGCTCCTGTGGGCCCAGTCCCAAACCTGTCCTAGAGTCAGTATTCTAACACAAATAATTGGCTTCAAGGGATGAGAGGTCTGTCTTATTTTTTTTGCCTTTGCTCCTGTTTTCCAACATTTCAAAGTGACCCTATCCCTTCCAACTCAAATATGTAGTTCGTCCACGAATAATAATTGATCTCAACCCAAAAAACCTAGGCTGTTTTCCTTGTGAGACAAGGCTGGCCAAAAGTGAATGAATGTGAAACGAGCAGTGACGGAGATCAAGAATGTGCGCATGTACGAGACGAGCGTTTGGGATTATGGATTCTTTTGGAAAAAATCGCAGAGGGCTTAAAAAAGAAGCCCTCACTGCCATTATTGACATTGGTGCGAACCGCTGGATGGTTGTGAAGACATTGTTAACTGGAGACGGGAGGCACGTGGAATAATATGTATGCGCTCCCTTCTCCTCGCAACTCATCCCTGTGACAGCTGACAACCCCCGACGTCCCCCTCAGCTCCTTCCAAAAAGGATTGTACAAATGTTTAAGCCGAAGAAAAAGTGAGAGATGCAAGTTTGGGAACACGTCTTTGCAGAAGAACTGTGCGCGACGACGCATCAGTGTCCTTTGGTGTTGTGAGCTGACCGGGTATGTGTGTGTGCGGCACGCGGGGTTACAATGCTGGTTGATTTAGTAAAAGAAAAAGCTATACGAGTATAAATCCATGAAACAAAAATGAAAAGATGACTTTAAAAGACTCCTGAACAAAAATGACCGGAGAAGAAGCTTTTTCATTTTATCATTGTTTTTTGTATTTTTAACTGCTCTGTGTAAAAGATAAAAAATACCGCTGTAGTCACTTTTGACCATGCGTGCAGTGTAACATAGAAAAACTATTTCACTTCTTTTCTACATCTGTAGTTTGTGTTGATAAGCCAACTGATTTGTCCGTGTGTCTGTCCAGTTGTCCGTCCCCTTTTATCAGGAGGAAACTTTCAAACAACAAAACAGGAATCTCTTTTTTTTTTTTTTTTTTTTATGTATCTTGTTTGTTGTTTTTTAATGAAACTCGACTTTGAAAAGAAAATTTTAAAAATGCAAAACACAAAAAATAATACAAAGAAAAAATGCTATTTAAAAAAAATAAAAATAAAGTTACACAATCTTATCATACCTCACACAACACGAAACTCAAAGGAACTTGGGAGGAGTCATATTTTGCAGGCACATGTACAAGTGCAAAAATGCATATGTTAAAAATGTCTATGTTCAGATAATAGTGCTTGTCTGTTTGCTTCAGTACAAGTTGCAAAAGAACGGGCTTTTTCCAGCCACGGGGCCTTTTTTCTCGAATTGGACTAAGGCGGAGGCAAACCAGGATGTGTACATTATAGTGACATTCTGTTCTTAGGCACAGAAGATTCTTGATTGTAGACCATTCAAAAACCTTAAAAATGTGACCGCCCCGTCGCTGGATTGAGGCGCGACTTTTGCGTTACGTCGGAGTGTTTTTTGGTAATGAATGTAGCTGACAGGAGGGGCCTGGACCTGAGCCCGGCACCCACAACCTATAACTTCCACACACCAGCAGAACCAATATAGTGGAGTCACATAGACGTTACCAACCAACCCACAAAACTGAGAAACATATTGCCCATCTGCAAGGTGCAATACCATGTTCTATGTATTTTTCTATGTTCTGTTTTTTTCATTTCCAGTTTTCGTTGTTGGATTTTCTTATTTTGTTTGGGCCATAACCAAGGATGTAAATACAAAAAAAAAAAAGATTTAATAATAACAGATCTACAAAACACTCAATGTACCAAGATATATAAACTACAGTGAACTCATCCGCTCCATCCTGATTGTCATGTAACTCAAAGATGTCTGCTTACATACATTTGTGTCTATGTATGTACGTGCGCACTTTCACTACGGTGCATGACTCATCGAAAAAAGCCTGTGCCTCCGCTTGTTCGCAAAGAGATAGATATTTCTTACCCCTCCTAGTCCGCGTAGTGTCCAAGTCAGATTTATTTTGAGCTCTTTTCCTTTCCTGACGGCGGGGCGCGGTGGAGCCAGCGGCCGGGCAGTGAGTGGGGTGTGTGTGGGGGTTAATAATAGTTTAGCACGGGAGATTTAGCGGGTTAAAAGAGCGTGAATGTCGTGGCGCCCGGCTGCTGGCTGCGCGGCGCCTTGTCTCAGGTGGAAAGCGCTCCCCGTTTTCGACCACCACTGCCTCACTGGAGCCAGCTAGAAACTCTTGCACCGTGCACATCATAAGATCGACTAAAGAAATGAAACGAGTTACCTTGCTTGTAATAGCCATGCAATATTGTGGCATCTCACACGGTAATGGAGATGGATGAACACTACAAATATAAAATATACCATGAAGAAACCAAAATAATGTTGGAGCTATACTCTTGGCACATGAAGCACATCCTGACCTAATGTTTAATGTGTGATATTGGCGTACTGAGTCACCGTGACTTCAAAAGCAAACAACTTACTTTGTAATTTTGGCAACCGCTAATGTTTTGTATCACATGCCCTTAAGGAATGGTTAAAATGACTAACTTGTTGAAGAATTTCTAGTCTGGCTCCTTCATAAATGCTCCATGGATGTTCTGATCATGTTTTGTTCTAACATGTTGACACATTGGACAAGGGTAGAGATTGTCTGTGCTGTTTTATGGTTTTTTTGGTGTTCAGTTCCCCCTCCCATATGCCAAATGTAAAGTTTATGAAGACATGCA